GCGCCAAAGCGGTTCCCTTAGCCAGTTCCCTGCCTTCCAGTCCCTACATGCTCAGGGGAGCGGCAGGAGCCATGTGTACTGCTCTGAACTGAATGCTGTAAGCCCAGCAGATGGGGGAAGAGGGGCATCTCACATGCTGCCTGCCCTGCAAACAGGCAGCTGCTATTGGCTGAAACTGGCCAAGGGGAGCTACTGGGAGCAGGGCAGCATGAGAAGCCCGTCTCCCCTCCCTCCAGGCTCTCAGCACTCAGAAAGCACATGTGGCCCTTCAGCTGGCTTTACTGAGTGCCGAGCAGGTGCGGGGCAGGCAGGGAGCTGGCTGAGGCTCTCACGGGCTGCATTCAACAGCTTGGCGGGCCAGATCCGGCCCTCAGACCACCTTTTGCCCAGCCCTGACATGGTGTGTTAACTTAGCAGAATAAGGTGTATCAGGATCCAGTGGTTCTGGAGAAAATCTGAGTAGAAATAAGTCAATTTTTTATCATTGAGGTACCATTTTTGACCATTGGTACAACTTTCCTGGGGACATGGTAAATTCTCTCCTTGTCCTGTCTTATGGAGAAGGCCAGACTAGATGATCACAATGTTCTTCTTCGAGTGGTTGCTTATGTCCATTCGAAGTAGGTGTGCGCACTGCGTGCACCGCGTCTTCCGGAGCGTTTTCCCTAGCAGTACCCGTAGTGCCGGCAGGGCGCCCTCTGGAGTGGCGCCGCCATGGCGGGGCATAAGTACCCCTGCTGGCACTGCCCCACCTCAGTTCCTTCTTACCTCAGCGACGGTCATTGGAGCGTCTCTATATCTCCCAGCCTACTTAGTTAGTTAATGGTTCCCGTTCTCACATTCGTTTGTAAATAGTTCTCACAGTTAGATAGTTAGGTTCTTTGCTTTGTTCCTTGCCTCTTGGGGGTAAGGAATGCCAGGGCCGCAAGGCTTCAAGACGTGCGCTGACTGCAGGAAGTTTATGCCCAGGGGCAACCCACACAACAGCTGTCTTAAGTGTCTGGGTGAGGCTCATCTGGCAATTGCCTGTAAAATCTGCAAGTCTTTCAAGCCCCGTACGAGGAAAGAAAGAGTTTCCCGCTTGAAGCTTCTCCTTATGGAGACGGCGCTTCAACCGGTGCCGCCGGACCAGCCTGTGGTGCGCAGCGCACCGGCCTCCACGCGCGAGGCCGCACACCGGCACCGGACATCGATGTCGAGATCCCGGCACTGGTCTCACTCTCCGCCATCTAAGAGGGTGAAGAAGTCCCGGGGCAGGTCTCCGTCTAAAAAGCCTACGTCGGCTGGGCACTGCAGCAGCAGTTCACCAGTGCGTGTTTCCCCTCCAGTGCACCGTCGGCACCAAGAGGGCCTGGTTAGCCCGGGTCGCCTGCCCTCTCATCGCCCATCCATGCCGGACACATTTGAAGCGGCGCAGGACCTAATTAGTCTCACGACCTCCCCGCCGTCGTTGGTCGACTCGGATGGGTCGAGGTCGCCCCTGTTGGAGGCTCGGAGGGCACCGTTGTCGCCCCTGCATGGCCCAGGTCGGCATGCTATGGTGGCTTATGCGTCAGGACCACCCCCGGTGGGGTCGGCTCCCGCTACTACTACGGCACCCTTCACGACGCCAAACCATCATTCTCAGGGAGCTTCGATCCATGGCAGATCGCTGCTTTCCACTTTGCCAGGGCCCCGCTTGGTGGTACCGGTGCCATACCCCCATGGCCATGTGGCCTCCCAGGAGTCGGCGTCCGTCTCCGTGCCGTCATTGGCACTGGCATTGACCTGGGCACCCTGGTACCGTTTCAGTCGGGCACGACTCAGCCGGCACCGAGCCTGAGCGCCTCGGTGCCACAGCTGCTGGCGACTCAGCCGGCACTGGGCCTGGACACCCCGGTGCCGCAGCTGCTGGCGACTCAGCCGGCACCGGGCCTGGGCACCCCGGTACCATTTCAGTCGGGCACGACTCAGTTGGCATCGAGCCTGAGCACCTTGGTGCCGCAGCTTCTCACGTCGCACTTGGCACGGGGCCTAGGCACTCCGGTGCCACAACTTCAGGCATCACAACCGACACCGAGCCTGAGCACCTCGGTGCCGCAGTTACTGGTGACGCAGCCGGCACCACACTCAACAAATGTGGCCTCCACACCCACAGTGGCCTTTCTGTACCCCCTGGGCCTACCACCAGTGGCAGGGTCAGATGCCCCCTTCTTTGGGGTTGGGGTCGTCAGGGCACCGTTCCCGTCCGTCTGCGTGCCTGTCTCGAGCCCCTCCCTCCTTGCTCCGGGCACCCCAACCCGATCCAGCAGCACCGCAACCATTGGCACCGGAGGTGGTCCCATCGGAAGTGCAAGCTGCCCAGTCGGCACCGCAGCTGATGACAACAGTTCCTGTGCCAGTTCAGGAGTCCTCGTCGTCTTCATCACCGGACGAGGCACTGGCAGACCCTGCACCAAGTCTGCCGTCAATGGATGCCCATACGCACCAAGACCTCCTCCGCCGTATGGCTGCCAACTTGGCCGTGCCGGTGGAACCTGTTATTGAGGACACAGATCCAATGGTGGACATCCTCACGGACGACGCGCCTGCGCGATTAGCCTTACGGCTTAACAAAACAGTATCAAAGATTACCAACGCCCTGTGGCAAACGCCGGCAACCTTGACCCCTACCTTAAAAGGGGTCGAGAGGCGTTATTACGTCCCAAACTCAGGGCATGATTACCTATACTCACAACCCACCCCCGGGTCCTTGGTCGTGCAGGCCACGGTCCAAAAGGAAAGACTCCCTCAGCCAGGTCCTTCTCCAAAAGCTAGGGAGCCTAAGCGGCTGGACCTGTTGGGCCGTAAGGTTTACGCCACGGGGGCATTACAACTCCGCATCGCAAACAGGCAGGCGATGCTGCGTAGGTATGCCTTTAACACCTGGCAGGCCATCGAAAAGTTCCGAGACAGACTCCCTGTGGAGGACCGCCAGGAGTTCGCAGCTGTTGCCTCAGAGGGTAAAGTCATCTCGCGAACTGCTCTCCAGGCGGCTCTGGACACTGTGGATTCAGTGGCCCGCACGATGGCGACTGGTGTCGTTATGCGTCGGGGGGCATGGCTCCACGTCTTGGGAATTCCCCTGGATGTGCAGCATACAATTCAGGACTTGCCCTTTGAGGGCAAAGCTCTGTTCTCGGAGCACACCGACTCTAGGCTCCATACCCTGAAGGACACTAGGTCCATCCTAAAGTCCTTGGGCATCCACACGCTGGCCCGCAGCGGCGAAGGCTGCCCTATAGGCAGCAGGGAAGGGCGCAGCCCCAGGTCCCCCGTGGGGATTACTGGAGGCACTGTTCCCGGGCCTCCGGTGGAGGTTCCGGGGTGGCCGTGCACCCTCTGGGGGCTAGTGGTCGACATCGTCACCCCAGGACCGATACCCAGCGGGGAGGGCCTAAGCCTCAGTTTTGACACCTCGTTTGAGAGTCCCGTACCAATCTACTGCCCTGGGCCTCCGTTTGGGGCCAGGCTATCCCTTTTTGCCCATGCTTGGGCCATAATAACTTCAGATGCCTGGGTTCTGAACATTGTAAGTGGAGGCTATTCTATCCCATTCCTAGGCCCGCTGCCCTCAAATCCCCCTTCTTCGTCTCTAGTAAGGAACACTCCTCACGAACACATCCTCTGTCAGGAGGTGTCTGCGCTCCTCGAAAAAGGAGCGATAGAGGAGGTTCCTCCGCAGCTGCGAGGAAGGGGTTTTTACTCCCATTATTTTTTTGTCCCCAAACCGAAGGGAGGGGTCCGCCCCATCTTGGACCTCTGAGATCTAAACGAGGCGGTAGTAAAACACAAGTTCAGAATGGTGATCTTGGCATCAGTCATCCCAGTGCTACAATTAGGAGACTGGTACGCGACTCTCGACCTCAAGGACGCGTACTTCCACGTGGCAATCAGACCCAGCTACAGGAGGTTCCTCAGGTTTATGGTGGGCCAATACCATTTTCAGTTTACGGTGCTCCCTTTTGGTTTATGTATGGCACCGAGGGTATTCACGAAATGCATGGCGGTGGTTGCTGCATATCTCTGCAAACAAGGGGTGCACGTGTTTCCGTACCTCGACGACTGGCTGATTCAAGGTCACTC